CTTCACCGCGCTGAGGGCCCGGTCCACTTGATCGATCAGCGCCGCCGCTGCGTACGTGTACGCGTGTTCCATTCCCATCCCTCCTCTCTCCTTCACATCGTAAATTTGTAGTCGCGGGATTCCTACCGAGTACCCTTTTGCGTTTAGGGCGCTCGCCCTCACTTGTTCGATGCTCTGGCAGTCTTCCCATGTGATGACCGTGGACCGGCCGTAGTAGCCGATAATGCCGCTCAGTGCTAGCGCCATGTTGCGTCGGATCTGCTCTCCTGTCAAGTGCGGTAGGTTGCCTATGATCCAGATTACTCTCTTGCAGTCCGCTACGCACCGCTCCCTCATTTCCGTCTGGCCCTCGCCGTTTGCCCACCCGGTCCTTAGCTCCGTTCCGAGGTATTTGTATCTCTCGTCTCCCTTCAGCTGTGGTATCGGCATGCTATCCGGCATCCTCATTTCGTAGCCCTCGACATCCCGCTCTTCGTTGTTCTCCCAGTATGTCGCTGACCACGCCGATTTCTTCTTCTTTTTGACCTGGAGGCTGTTGCCACAGATCTTTGTCACTAACCAGGCGCACTCTAGCGCGAGCTGCATCGTGGCTATGTCGTTGCTGAGGAACAGGCCGTCGTCGGCGTACACTAGCTGCGGTACGCTCTCACCCGCCGCTGTGAAATCAAATCCTCTACACAGCTTACTGACTGTTCGCTGCATCACGGCCAGCATGAGCTTGCTGCGTGCGGGCGAAAGGAGGCACCCTTGGCCGAGGCCTTGCTCGATGGGAAATCGGTCGCTCAGTCCATAGGATGGGAGGCTTGTCTGCCAACAATAACCTAAACATTTCTTTCGCGCATCGAACCGCGACGGCCGAGCCGGGCGGCTGAAGACGAGCGCACTCTACCCGGTCGCGAGATGTTCTCCAGCAAGCCCAAGTATTCAGCCGACAAGACCAAGGTGCACCTCAAGATGCTCTGCAACCGCTTCCAGCTCCTCACACAGAAGAAGGCGAACCTCGCAAAGCAGCAGAAGCGGCAGGTCGCCACGCTGCTCCGCGACGACAAGGAGCAAAACGCACGCATCCTCGTGGAGCACATCATCCGCGAGGCGCGCCCGCCCCGCCCAGTCTGCCGCCCACCGCCCTGCGGCTGACGCGGCGCGGGGAAAACGCCGGCCGTCAGGACTACACCCTCGAGTCGTACGGCATCCTCCGTCAGTACGCCGAGATGCTGCTCGCCCGCCTCGAGGTGGTCAACTCGGAGGACCACCTCAAGCCGGAGATTGCCGAGGCGGTGTGCGCGCTGCTGTACGCGGGCTGGCTGTACGGCTCCGAGATCCCGGAGCTCAAGGTGCTGCACGCGCAGTTCACGGCAAAGTACGGCAAGGAGTATGCGCAGGAGGTCATCGAGAACAAGGAGAAGTACCTCAACCACCGCCTCGTCCGCATGCTCACCTCGACGCAGGCGCGGCGCCCCTCTCCGCCCCGCACCCCTCCCTCCCTCTCCCCTGCGCGACCCCTCCGTGTGA